AGAGAAACTAACTTTGCATGCATAATCAGTTTGAGCTAAAACATTTAGTTTGTGCATAATTTAATTCAAATGCTTATTCAACATGTGACATTTTTACTGTGAATTTGCAGCCCTAGGTTGCCCTTAAAACTCTATGCTGCTAGCTGATCAAATTAAAGACAGCATAAGTAAATTCAACAAAGACATTGCTCTTATCTGCAGATTAGTCATTTATTCTTGTTTTGTTATGAACGTTGCAGTCTTTCACGCATATCAAATTCTTTGTTCCAATGAAAATACGAGTTATATAATTTTAGAATGGTCCAGAAAATAACTTAAAACAAAACTGAATATCTAAAGATACAGTGTTTAGCTAGAAGGACTAAACAACATTTAGAAAGAGCTAAATGAAGTGTCAGCATCAAATCTTATTTGTCAACATTTGTACTTTTTTTTTGCCTAATTTTTATGACACAGTCCAGTGATAAGAGATAATTTAAATATTTTACTTGGCAGGTACATAATTCAAAACAGTAATATATAACTGATCAATGTGATGTAGTTTCATCTATCCTAGAAGCTGTATAGCTTATGTAGCAGTAAAGATATGATGACAAAGATAAAGAAGAATGGAGAGGCAACATTGACAAGTGATTGTCTTTAATATCACTTTTATTTCAATTGTTTTCTGTTTGTTTCAAGGTCTCTTGGATGTTTTGAGGTAATTAAAATAATGGACAATTGCAACACTAGGTTTGTAACTTACTGTACTCCACTGTAGTGCTAGAGAAAAACCATATAGCTAAAGGGTATATTGAAGAGCTACTGCAGCAGTTCTGCTAAACTCATATGGACAAACCAAATGAAGCAGAAGAAAAACAAAATTGCAATAAATATTTGGATGGATGAAAAAGCCTTCCATTATATGGAAAAAAGTAGTGGGTTAAGCTGTGCATTTCCCTAACTTATTTTATCCTCTTAAGATAAGAGAACTTGCAATAGCACTTAGACTTACAGTATATACTCCTTTATAGAGCTTTATAGCCCTCTCTAAGCGGTTTACAGAGTCAGCATATTGCCCCCAACAATCTGAGTCCTCATTTTACTGATTTCGGAAGGATGGAAGGCTGTGTCTACTTTGAGCCTGGTGAGATTCAGTCTCCCAAACGTCTGGCAGCTGGTGATCAGCAGAAGTAGCCTGCAGTATTGAACCTTAACCACTGCACCACCATGGCTCTTATCCAATTTAACGTAATTTAACGTAAATAACTCCAATTATTTAATGTAATTTAACTCCAATTTAATGTATCTAACACATAGGTTCCTCTCAACTTTGCCAACCATGCACCCTGTGACAGGATGTATTGGCAGCAGAGTGGAAGTGCCATCACTAATAAACAAGGCAACCTTTTAAAAATTCACTGTAAACGGCCTGTTTCTCTTTCATTTCTAGCGGTAGATAAAGGATCCATCATAATCTTCTTTTCTTTGCATAAAATGAACTCCTTCAATGAGTCCAGAGCCTAAAATTAACACAAATTGAGATGGTTTGTTCACTAGTGGTAGGACTCAAAAACCCAATTTATAGGTAGTCCTTGCTTAATGAGTGGTCACTTAACAATTGTTTGAATTTATGAGAGACACCTCCCTCAAAGTTACTTCCATGATTTCTCATGGTTACACATCACCATTCCTATGGTCATATTTCAGGAACTTCGCAGTCAAGATACTTGCATAGTCCATTGTAGTATTCCATAGTCATGAGATTGTGATTTACAATGTTTTTGCATGGAGTACTTGCTTAACGACCACTACAAAAAATGCAAGATGGAATCCAGTAACTTGGATACCCTGGCCTATGACTGTCATGACTTGCAATAGAAATCCCAGGGTCCATTATAGTTGCCTGTATTACATCCACATATTAGACTTAAAGACTTTTATGCTGCTGGAGAGATTATATGGAGATATATACTCTCTTTCTTTCTGCTCTTGTTGTACATTATTCTGTGTAGACAACTTCCACCGAAAAGAATTATTTGCTGAGTTTGTATTTGTTTGCTGAGTTTAGTATCCTACCTGTAATGTTATTGCTTGTTTGGCTTTATTGGAAGGATTCTTTTTGTTTTGTTTTTCTTCTTCTCAATCCAATATTTTTTTTTTCCTTCCCAAAGCTTTAGTCATTCCTACTCAGTAACTTGTCGGTATCCACTTTATCACCCTGACATCTCTTTGTTCAGCAACTCCGTACTTCAGTGCATGACATCATAGTGAGATACCGCTTAATGATCTGAGTCTCTAAACACTATTGCTCTGAATTCTAGTTACAGAAAATATGTGACAGATTTGGCCTAGTTGAGCTTTGCTTACGCTGCTCTTTTCAGGACCAGGCAGGGGTTTGCACATGTCAGTCGCACTCATGAAACTGCTGAAGCTGCATTTTAGTAATGTGCATTTGGCAGACATCAAATGAGAAGGGGTGAATCTGGTGCAAGTTGCCCCATCACTAAGACGGTGAATCTGGCCTCAACTCACAAAGGGAATGAGTTTAGCCATTAAAGCATTTGATTTTATTGAATAATGTCAAGGTTTTTTTTTTTATAAAGAGACAGGGCAAGAGATAGAGGAAGAAAATTGTCCCAGAATTAAACACGGATTCAGGAATATCGTTATGCTAGACATATCTACATCCAAGCAAAGAAACATTTAGTCAGATTAAAGACAAGCTATATGGACACTGAAGATAGGAATTTATGGTCCTGGCACTGTCTTTTATACTTTCTGAAATACCATATTTTTCAGAGTATAAGACATACTGTCAGCTCCGGCCACCTCAGAGGTCTCAGAATCTGACATGTATCTTTTTCCCTCAAAAAAGAGAGTGAAAATTTGGGTCCGTCTTATACACTGAATATTTTTGGCCTCTTGAAACTCCACCCCCTTTGCAAAAATGGCCGTGCATAGTCTTTAGGGGGCTTCTGCTGGGGGCTAAGAAGGGCAAAAATAAGAAAAAATTGGTTGTTTTTCGCTCGTTTTCAAACCCTCCCCCCAGCTGCCAGGAGCACTCTATAGGCCTCCTAAAGGCTATGCATGCCCTCTTTTTTGACAACAAACGGGCCCATTTTTGAAAAAAACGGACCATTTTTGTGAAAAAACGGACCATTTTTGGGAGGTAAGCAGGGTGCAAAAACTTTTTTTTAAAAATTTGCCTCTTCAAAATCTTAGTCTGTCTTATACTCCGGTTTGTCTTATACTCTGAAAAATACGGTACCTTTGGACTTGAATACATGAAATAATGTTTCTTTCCTTAAAGTTTGTCTGCATTAAGATCTTCCATTGAAGCTTTAGCCCAAAAGTGGAACACTTTTTGCTCTAGTGGGGTACCTTTGCACTTCTCCGAGCAGGTTGTTGATGGTTCTATAAAATGATTGCATTACAAGTTTTCATATTCTCAAAACAGCTGGTGAGACAGAAAACAATCCATTCCATGGCCTCTCAACCTTTACCATTTTAGCTTTTCTGGTCAGTACTGTCCTCTTTCAAATAAAACACTGTAATGATGTTTCCCGATCTTTCTACTCTTGTGACATCTATTAGGGAAGCAGTCCTTTTATTAACTTTTATATAGAAATTCATCCAGGTTCATGTTGTGTCCCTAAAGTTCCAAATAGGGTCTTTTTCTCCTTTGTGGCTACAGAATGATGTAGGAACATCTATGATTTATCAAAAAAAAAAAAAATTTGTTACATGGATAAAATATTGAAATTATCTAACTGAGAGATTAAGGGGGTATAACAAGTGCTTTAAATATGAACCCCCAATAATTTAAAATGAAAACATTGTACTGCTAAAGAATAATATATGTAGGCCAGGGTTGAAATGAGGCATCCTTACTGGCACTGATGATATTACCTAGTTTACATCTTTAAGTAAACTTCTTCAAGATATTTACATCTTCAAATAAACATCCAAAGTCAGAGAACACCAAGAACCTCTGAAGAAAAATTATAGCTGGAGTGTCCAAATAAGATGCATGAGTCAACCTCAGCCTTTTAACTTTTTCTTTTCTTTCAGAAAATATGATAAATCTTTAGCTTGCGTAATTGTTCCTTGATGTCCCAGCTCTCTGTTCATTCACTCAGGAGTGGTGAAGAATTTCCAATGAGGAAGCAAAATTCATTTGCTATTTAGTTGATGTAAAATGGAAGGAGCATCATTGTTTCCATTGCATCTAACAAATAAACAAAAAATCTTGGATTTGCTTCGCCTGATTCTCTTTTTCTTTGTATGCTGGAGAGACAAGTTAGGGGCCCTTACAATAATCTATTTCTTGAGATTCTCAAAAATCTCAAAAGTAAGAACGCAAGGTTTTTATTGGTCATTGATATTATAAAAAAGCTTAATGTTTTGCCTATTGTTAAAATGCGCCGAATAATTTTAGATCATCCAAAAATAATACTGCAAACCTGAAGCTTCTTAACTGAAAAGTAATTCCACTGAATTTGATGGATTGTATTTCCAAAATAAGTGCGCAGAGAACTAAGCCTTCATATCAAGTCAAACTTTATTATGGCCTTTAGGCTAGAAAGGAACATATCTTTTTTGGGAACATGATATGATTCCTGAAAAATGTTGTTCGGGTTTCACATGTTGAAATGTATCACATGCCTGTTAACCTTTTAATGCTAAACTGATAAGTTCAAACTACTTGTCAGAAGCAGACCTAAGTAGGGGGTTCTTGACAAGAAACATATTTTAATAGTGCCATCTGCAAATTAAGTTGAGGAAACCCATTGAAATGAAATTCAGACATCTGCAGAGCACCTGAAATGAGTAACAATTAACTGTCCCAGGGAGCTCTCCTAAAAATATGTTTGCCTTTCTTTTAAAAATCTTTAATGTAGTCTTCACATACCTGCATGCCTTAAATGCAGATAGTAATAGAAAAATGAATGGTCCAGTTTTGTTGGGGAAATTTTATTTGGGTTTAATCAACTGATAACATCTTTTGTATATAAAGCATGACTTGTGCCGATGTTTCTGCACATTCTGAATACCAGCTGGTAAATGTCAGAGAGCATGTTGGTCCAGTCGAGTTTTTGACCTGATGCAAGGATTCTTGTTACATTCTTATGAATTAGATGAACTGAAGAAAGCTTAGAAGATGTATATTTGTTTTAAGTTGTATTTACATTAAGAAGGGTTTTTTTCACCAAAATCTAAGCATTTGTGGTAAAATAACGAGACATATATGTACTGTATATATAATTCTGATTTTTTATCCAGGAGGCTGTGAAAATCCATGCATAATGTATTCCTTATTACAGTAGCAACATAATAATGTGTGTATTCTTTATCCAAAGTTTTGTTTAATGTTGTATGGCATGCATATTTTAAGATGTTGTAAGAATTAGAATTAATTCTAAAATTCTTATTATAAGTACTAATTTCAACAGGACACGAAAACTTTAGGATTTGAAGAAATAAGTCATCACTTATGTTCTCTTGTCTTACTTTGTAACAGATCAGCTCCAAGCAATCATGACCGGATACAACGATTAAGACAAGAATTTCAACAAGCCAAGCAAGATGAGGATGTGGAAGATAGGAGGCGTACTTACAGCTTTGAACAACCATGGGTATGTTCCCACTATCTGAGTATAGCAAACAGCAAAGTCCCAAAGAAGCTATCTTAGATTAAGTCAAAACTAGACAGCTATTTTGTCTGTCAATAGTAGTTTAGGAGAGTTTCAGGATAGAATTGTTTTGGTCCTACCTAGAAATGCTAGAAAGTGCACCTTGTAATTTTTGCATGCAAACAAAACGTATTCCTCCATAGTTCTGTAGCCCATTCTTTGATTTGCTTAGGGTATTATCTTTAGTTCCTACTGGAAACTGATTCCATGTCTTGAATGACCTTTTAACCTATGACTCTTTGCCTTTCCATCTGTGGTGCAACATTCCTAATTTTGTTTTGGATTGTGCTCTGCCATCTGTCCCTTCTGTAAAAGGATATTGTCTGGCCTGTTGGAAGCCATTCCTGGGTCACACAATTGATGCTGACTAACTTATCTACCCTTTAAAGAATGTCTCTAGGGGATTTCTGTTGGCGACAGTGACAAGAACATGATTCTTTGCTTGTATAAACTGCATAGATTTAAATAAAACATGGTAGCATTCAAGATACCTTTACTGGTTTACTTGGATGCATTTTAAATGCAGTGTGTGTGTGTGTGTGTGTGTGTGTGTGTGTGCGCGCGCGCACGTGTGTGTGTGTGTGTGTGTGTGTGTTGCTGTCAATAAATAACATACATTGAATGGCACTACTAAATAGCT